TTGATGATATTAAAGGGATAGAATAGCATTACTCTAATAGAAAGGGTAGAAATTAAGCTCTAGTATCGAACAAAAATGATCTTATTATCTCTATATGTCATATAGAAAACATAGATCATAATAGATTTCTACAGAGTATAGATGATATTATATATATTATTATTTCTTAGGTAAATGGACTTAAAAAGTTTCTTTTGAACATTATAGTTCTTAATAATTTTATTTATTATCTATATCTTTATCTATATTTGATGGATTATAATAAAACTATTAAACAAAAATATAGTTTAAAATAGAATATATAAAAGAATAAATTTTATTTATATAATATAATATATATATGAGTAATTATGTATAAAATTTTTATATAAAATTTTTTATCAGTTTATATCAAATATCGCAAAATATAAAAATAACATTTTGAGACTTTTTATTATTGCAAAATTATTTTAATTTAGTTGTACTAATATTATTCTGTATAAAAGATATTCCAGTTAAACTTAAATTTTGTATAAATAAAATAATATTTATATTTTCATTATTTCAATATTTAGTAAGTTGCATAACATCATGTTTACATACGTTTATATAATAAAAATCAGTGAAACCGGTATTTATTTCACAGTTAATTTAATAAAGCAAAAGATAATAATCATAGCACGACAGTATTGATAAGATATTGTGGGAGCTACATTTCTAGATAGTCAATCTGGATTTCAGAACAACTTATTTTCTCAAATACATTAAAAAAATTATAAATTTAAATGGCAGAAAACTGGTAAACGATGTATAGTAAGTTTTGATTACCCTATAAAATTGGTCAAATTCTTAAGACTGCTCATTTCCCATGTATCTGTGCTGATATAAGAATAGGTCAATGTAGCTATTTTACGATATTTAGCGAAAATGTCTTTTAGTTTGAGCAAAACTGGGTAAGTCCCATATGCAGTAATTAGTTTATTGTTGTGGGATTTAAATATAAATATATATTTATGTATATATCATATCAATAGATGGCCTCTAGCATCTACAAATAATGTAACATTACCATATGTATAATTATTTAAATATTTAATTGTATGTTTTATTATAGTCCCTACAACACAAACTAAAATAAGTTTTGCTACACAAACAAACCTGGTTCCAGAAATAAGCAGGCCTATGTTCCAAACCTAACTATTATTGGCTACCATGTGGCAGTCTGAATATTTAGTGAACAATAAATATAAACAAAGGAGCTACACTGAAATAGTTTCTTTTAGAACGGGGAACTTATACGGGAAATAGCAATAACAGTGAACACCAATTCAATGTGTATTTGATCTACATTGGTTGACTTTTTGACGGTTTGCTGGTTGATCTATTTTGGTTCTTTCATCAACTTTGTGACGGGTTGATGAAAGGAGCTGTTTTGGTTCTTCTATCGAATTAAATACTAAATGCAAAATTAAAAATACAAAATTTAAATTAATTTTAATTTGTTTAGTATCACGAAAAATTCTTGTTTTTTTTATTTGATAATTATAAATTAAATCTGGAATAGCTGGTGTATGACATGACAAAGTAAGCATGCCCGTAGTCAATAAATAAATAAAAAATTTTTGTATAGACCAAACAAAACTTTAAATCCAATATCTCTAAAGATTACTGATGATAAGCATTTAGAAATATTCTAAATAGCTGTATGATAACACATTAAGGTAGAGAGGTATGCTCATTATATCATTCATTTCATAATTGAAAATTGACTAAAAATTTTTCAGTTGGTAATAGTCCAAGAAAGTTATTATTTTTTAACTATTAGAACGTAAATATATAGTTCTTGTCTCTTCCAGATCACTGCCGCAATAATCTTCCTCTTCCACAATAATCATTGGAACTAACTTCAATTTTAAAAAGTTGTCGATCTATATAAAGCGGAACTAATGTAAATAGTTTGACTTAAGGTTTTATATTTTGGAAGATTTAATTGCTTTAGAAAGCATGTGAAAAATAATTTATTTAGCGTTTCTTCAAAAAGTAATTAATGAATTTTAGGTCATCAATCAAAACAACCACTATTTGGATTAAAATATTTATTGAGTATAAAAGAGTGAATTTATTTAAATAACGCTTTAAAGAAACTGAATTACTTTGCTTTATTTACATATAAATTGTGATAAAAGTAATTAAGCATTTATATATTAAAATTGAATTATATTAAATGTATATTTAATAAAATTTTTTTAATTTGCTTTAACCAGCTTTCCATAAATACGTTACCTTTACATATAGTTTATTGAATAATTTTAAACTTTTTATACGGGTACTATTATCATCACTATTAGGTCGTTTTGCAGGTGATAAACCTTTGCCAGAAGTTCATTTTTATTGTCTCCAGAACATTTGAAATTTCCTTTCAATGTGTTAAGTTCATTTCTGGAAGTTCATGCTATAACCATGAATGTAATTGAAGAGCGTGAATGGGCTGTGATAGATGGTCACAAAGCGTGTCTGCTGTATAATTATTCATAATAAAAAGACGGCTTATGGGGAGTTTTCACTGGTTTCTCTCACTAAATATGAGAGATCGATGGCGAAAATATATGCAAGCAGTTGTATTTAACAATTAAAACCAGATGTCGGATTTGTTTTGATATTTTAGTAAATGATATAATAATAATATAAATACTTTTGTTGGTACGTTTATTACTTTTTATAAAGAAAAATATTTTAAATAGTCAGCTTCTTGGTTAAATTGATGGCAGCAGGCACTATTGTATTTAAGAACACATGCTGGCTTTTGGTGTATGGATTCATATTTGGATGGTTGTTCATTTGATCACTATAAAGCTCCATTACATTTCAAGCAATGGAATTCAATTGGTTGATGCTATAGTATTAAAGTAGCTAACATTGCTTTCATAAATTTAGTTAAATTAGAAGACTCCCACGTCCAGTGTTATTAGATTCATCTTACATTTATTTTTTGAGTCATATATTTTTATATATAGTTTACATACATTTTTAAAGAAGTTAAGGATATTCTTTTTTATATCTCAAAATATTATCCGATGCTAAGACAGTTAGTCTCGATTCCTTTTAAAAAGTTATCACTGAATGGATCATCTGTTTTTAACACTGTTCCTATATGTATATCAATTTCTATCCGTTTATAATATTGTTATTGGGTATGCATAATATATTTTATATATATTATCCTATGTCCGCAGCTCACTATATTAAAGGAATTTTAGAATTTTAGAATTTTTGAGCCCTGTTATAACATACTTCAGTTTTAAGATTTATTTAAAATTCTTGAGTATTATTTTTAGGTATATACAATTTATTTATAGTGGTTGAATATGTACGATTTAACTTTGCCTGTAGGTTAGGTGATACAGGTGATACCGGTGATCTTACGGTATCCACTTAGACGTAGCGGTCTATTGTGCTATCGTATAATTAAAAACACCAAACTCTACTCGTAACTCAGTATATTAAAGTACTTTATTGCTCTCAGTTCTATTGTCACAATCCATCTAGCCCCTGTGGTGAAGGGGTTAGAATAAAGGTAAGGCATGTCTGTCGTAAGGGGCGTCTAAAATTCCGGTGCCAATTCGGCACTTGTGTGAGAACTGTGCATAGTAGTAAGTGATCCGTCTCACTTGCAACATCTGACCAGAGATGGCAATATCTGCTTCAGCTGTGCTAACCAGTTGAGATTGGACTCGTAGTGGGTGTGTTTAAGAATGTTTATTCAATTTGGCGTGGAGCTGCGTATTCACCACCGGGTGCTACAACCCGATTGTAGTAGAGGTTTAGATACGCTTCGGATCGTACCAAAGTGGAAGTTATATCTCACACAAATTTCTTCGTTCGTACCGGTGAAATAACTAAGGAGATTCCAATGGGGCGTTCATTTTGGCTCAATATACCGATATATACGTTAATAATTCTAAATTTGTACCAATTCATTATACGATTCTTTCTCTTCCACGGGTATTTAAACTTTTTTACTGTTTATTTTTAATTCTATTGGATTCAGATTATGTAGATTAGTATCGGGATACATTGTTTATTTATTTATAATTTATTATTCCATCATTTATAATTTGTTTGTAATGTGACTATTTGTGTGAAGAGTGTGTTGTGTTCAGCAAAGCCAAATATATATAATATTGATTCTTATTTTTAATTCAAGATTTTATTTGCACCCAACTCAGCTTTCATTGATAAATATATTTAATAACGAATAAAAACTATTTAAATTGTTTAAAATTCTTTGCATTTAGTCTAGTAATTTATATCCAAAAATTTCTATTTTATTTTAATGTACTTAATAAGATACGATTTTTTTTATTACGAAAAATTTTGATTTTCAATAGAACAAATCTAAATTTCCCATGCCAAACACGAAATGGTTGTAAACTTTTTAACTGTCAGATACAGAATTTGCTATGATTTCATTTAGATTTTGTTATTGTTGTCTTTTCTTGTTAATTAAATATTCACACATAGTCTTGCCGTTAGAATACTAAGATACTATGATGTGAGAAAAAAAATATTTCAAAAATCAAAAATAATCATTACTTGCACCTAAACATTTTGCACCTAATTAGCGACTCGAAATGTATCCCAAACGCCGATGACGCTGATCTCTTGGGCGCTATCTCTGTAGTTACTCGCGGCAACATCCGCAGCAGAAGATACTCGTTGTTAACGAAACTAATCAGTTGCAACGAGTCGTTGCTCGTTGATTTTGCAAATTAACCAAATCAATTACCAAGTATCGGCCAGCAACCATCGACGGAAATTTTGGATGAGTTTTTACTGTTCGTTTAGCACCGCGCGAATGTCAAGCGATCGATAGTTCGGCTTGAAGACTTAATTTTCGCATTTTAATTGATTTCGGTTTCGTTATCGGCCTAGCATGCGTTAAGTTACTTCACACTCTTTTAGTAGCCGTCGTCGTTGTTGTTGTTGTTATTTGCTTTACTGTTTTTTTAAAATTTTTTTTTTATTTTTGCAACTAAAAAGTTCTCGTACGGTTTAGTGGAGTTTGTGACTTGGTCGCGTGGTGCTGGCGGTGCAGTCGTCCAAATAATTCGAGACAATAAACTCAAGTTTTTCTGCCGGTTGTGTTTTTTGCTGATACGGGATTTTCTATTTGCACCGTGACTGTTGGTGACTGTTGCGCTGGAGGTCACATGCTGGCAGGTTTCAAAAGAAAATTGAAAAGTGTTTTTCGTGAAAATTTAAAATGCAGCATTTATTGAGCTTAGTGTTCGCTATCATTTTCGTGACATATCAGGGTAAATACAAAAAAAAAAAAATAAAATAATAAAAAAATAAATTGCAAGTATAAAGCAAATTTCTGCACATTTTTTTTTCATCAGTGATCATGTGATAACTAAGCTAACTTATTTATTTATTTTATAAGATATATCAAATGACTTGATAAGTAAGTGCAAAAATAATATAACTATAAAGAATGACATATCAATTATGGGTTTAAAAAATATAATTTTTTTCTTTAAATTCGCAACATTTTTGCGAGGAAAACAAATGGTTTTTTAAGACTGATGTAGTCCAATACAAACTAATATAATAATAATTTGAACACATGATTATCAAAATATAGATATAGCATTTTGAATGTAAATAAAACTTATAAAGTAAAGCAAAATAATTTTTTTTAAAAATATAATTTTTTTTTTCATATTCGCAACCTTTTTTTCAAGGAAAACTAATAATTTTTTAAGTTCTTTAAGACTGATGTAGTCCAATACAAACTAATATAATAATAATTTGAACACATGATTATCAAAATATAGATATAGCATTTTAAATGTAAATAAAACTTATAAAGTTAAGCAAAATAATTTTTTTTTAAAAATATAATTTTTTTTTCAAATTCGCAACCTTTTTTTCAAGGAAAACAAATGAATTTTTAAGTTCTTTAAGACTGATGTAGTCCAATACAAACTAATATAATAATAATTTGAACACATGATTATCAAAATATAGATATAGTATTTTAAATGTATGTATTTTTGTATTTAATGCAATTTAATTTAATTAATATGTTAAGGTTAGTTGAGTCAGTGCACTTGAGCACTTTTACTCTCTACTAATTGCGAGGTTTCTTCATAACCTCTTTCTATGCCTTGACTGGATTATTGTTTATCATTTCATCAAACTAAGTAATAATTGACCTCAGATCTGCATATCTCCCCGAGGAGCCTGTAACCATTCTGAGATTTGATAACGCAGTGTTAGTAAGACTGTTGGTTTTTGTAAATAGTTTCCGAGCTCTATCCTTTATGTATTTTTTGATCAGATCAACCTTGAGATCCCTGTGGATGTCATTCGTCCTAATGTACCATGGCACCTTGAAAAGTCTTTTCAGAGCCAGAATTTGTGCAATTTTTACCTAGCGAATAGTAATGTTTGATGCCATACTGAACACTATACACCCATATGGAAGTGATGGTCGAATTATTTGGTTATATATCAGCTTCCTGTTCTTGTCATTGAGATTATCATTGCTTTTCTATCGCGGGTGGAGGTAATGAAGAATTTTGGCACAGCTACTTCTTTTCAGTTGAACATGTTTAAGCCATGTGAATTGTTTGTCGACCGTGATGCCTAGATATTTAATGCTATCCTTTCAGTTTATTACCGTATCTCCCACTCTTACTCTCGAAGGGTTTTTAGATGTAAAGAGATAAAACTCAAGCTGGCTTTTATAACTCTTTAATCTTTAGATTAATTCAATCCTACTTGTCTTGATACAATATAACTCATAGCTTACAGTGTACCATTATCTATTCTATTAAAAATATCTTAACTTTAAAAAGAGGTTTTCAAAATGGCACATTTTATTCTTTTTTCCTAAACTCTATTGTAAGATCAATCACATTTTTTGTTGATTTTTTAATTTAATTTTCATGCTGTTATTGTGTATTAATAGTAAGTGATCTATTACTTTATCTAGCCATCTTTGGGACAGTCGTCTTTTTTTTACTTCCTTGGTAAGTTGGTGGTAGATCTCTTATTCTGTGGATTTTCATTCGGAATTTTTTATGCAACACGAACCGATTTTAATTATTATTCTTCCCGGTTTTTATGTTGATATCATTTCTATATACTCTGAAGAAATTTTGAAAATAAACTCATCTTTCATCTTGAGAATTATAGGGTTTAACGGTTGCTTTTACGGGGATTGGAAACGGTTGTCTAAGTTATGATTCTATGATAGCACAACGGGATAATAGGTACAAATATGTCACAGCGACATAGTTACATTTACTTTATCTAACCTAACTTAAGGGTCATTGTTTTCATTTGTTTTAAACCGTCTAATTTAAGCATGCTATAAACCTATTGGTAATATAGGATTCAATAAGACTTAACTTTTTCTTACTATACGCTGGTTATAAATAGGCAAGGAGCATATTGATTTCTTTCACCTTCCAATTACCACAACTTTTGTAGGAATAAAATTCTCATTTTGGACGCATTTCAAGCTATAAGATTATAACAGAGGATGACTTCTGTCAGAATTGGTTGCGTGTACTGAAGCCTCTGTGACTTTTTAAATTCTATTTTAGTCAGATAAACATTGATATGACAATGATCTTCTATTGATTAATATTACTTAATTCTTGAAAAAATATCGTGTATAAAAAATTCTTAAAAAAATATTTATTAAATAATACTAGTCGCATGATAATATATGAAAATATTTGTTCATAAGATGAAATTTTTTTAAAAATAACTTTTTAAAATTCCGGCTGAAGAACATATTATACTTATAACAAAGTCATAAAATTTGTTTGGAATTTTAATGATTTTTTTCAAATACTGGTATCAAACTTTTATTAGATAATTTTTTCATAAATATCAAACCACAGTGTATCTTCTTGCTGAGATATTTAGTTGGACCAATTGTTATTTTTAGATAAAATATTTAAAAATTTTTGGTATCTTTACTAATGTTTTATGCAAAATATTTGAGAGATATTTTTTTTAAATAATTAAATATTTTACTCTATGATAATGATTATAAAATAATTGTTTTCATAACTAACGTATAATCTAGAGTATTATTACTGCAACTATAGAGATTTATTATTATTAATATGTATCTTTTTTTTAATTTTTTAATATTGATAATAAAATTTGTGTCTATATCAACTATTTATATTGTATCTATGTTTAATGTTATTAGTTAAAATTAAATAAATGATTGTAAGATTTTAATTACATTAGATTGACTTGATATTTTATATAGCATGAGTATGTGAATGGTATTTGTATATTTAAGCACTTATAAGATAGAAGTAATCACAGTGTTCTAGTCTTAGTCGCGGATATAAGGACTGTTGTTCAAATTTTATGTGATTGGAGCACATTGACGCATCTTGAGCCCATATCCACAGAGTGAAGATCCTTTTAATGCTCGCTATTATTGACTTTGAGCGTGATTTGAACACATTGAAAACATAAACTATATCACAAAGCTTAAACACCATAATATATAGGAGAAAAATCATTGATTTCATCTATAAGTTGTTTACGAATGTATACTGTAACGTCCGCTTAAAGGAAATTAAGCTGTTAATATCTATCCTGGTATATAGAACGCCATTTTATATTTCTATTGGTAATTGTAACAGTACTGGACGGCGTATTATAAAAGATCAATGAATCTTCTTTTTATTATATTTACTGGCGATGTCACTAAAATGAAAATTTTTCATATTATCCTAACATATGCTATGTCACAAACTTGAATGAAATTATGCTCTTGGAGTTACTAAAAGCTTATACGAAAACTACTAAAAGCTCTTGACAAATTAGTATAGCTAAAATTTTTTCAATTTTATCCTCATAAAATAGAAAAACTATAGTATTATTAAAATAGTCGATACTCCTACCAGGAAAAATCAAACAAAGTTCACTTCACTTCACTTCACTGAATATTTTTAATTACTTGCAATCATTCGATTAGCATAAGTGTTCTATTTGAAGATCTGGTCATCTTTGCTTAATATGGATTTGATTAAAATACGTTAAAAATGGGCTGTTTGCTACGTGGAAAGAAATAACATAAAAAGCTCTTAACAGATCACTATTGACTCTATTTCTACTCTATCCTAAATCTAAGTGCAATGATATTAGACAGTTGATAAGTACCGAAGTCTGAGTCCCGCAAAGACTATTATAGTAATCCAGAATGTGTTTTGCTGTTTTCTCTTCATCGTGACAAAGTATGCAACTATCGTCGCTTGAAATATCTAGATTTGATAGATGTTTCTTAACTCCGCAATAATCAGTGAGAATCTCTGTCACAAGTCGAATGCCTTTTCTGTTCAGCATTAGTAGCTCCCTAGTTTTGGCTTTTGATCGATTTGGCATGAATTCTTTAGCTTGTCTGTAGGCCATTACGTTAAACCAATTAGTCTAAGCTGCTTTTTTCATCCAATCTTTAATTTTAAGTTTGAGAATACTAGGGTCGCAGAATAGTTTTGGTCCAATTTAATCTTTGGCCTCGTTTTCTTCAAATACGCTGTGTTCTGGAATCCTTATTAAGTGAACCCTGTTCCCTTCAGTAAGATCTTTGAGAAGTTGAAGGCATTCCCACACTACTTTTAAAAAATATGATTACTATTTTTTATGCGAATATTTGAATTTTAAAAAATTTATGTGATTTTGAAATAACTTCGGTAACTTAAAATTCTTACTATATTAAATAATATCTTGATATTTACTACATACTATCTCTTCAATTGACACCTTATTTCAAATATTATTAGGAATGTTTCTATGTAACATAAAAATTTTTATACTTAAAATAATAATAATAATAATTTTTTGCAAAAATATTTACTTTTCTAATATTTTTTGGTCAATGTTAAGAAATTTGATACTCGGCCTTCATACTTAAATTAAGTCAAATAACTAAGCAAATTAAGTAAAATAACTAAGCAAAGCGCATAAATAAGTCTGGCAAGCCGTTTTGCTTGAAATTTAAACGAAAGTCCCAACTGGTTGACTATTATTTATGATATATATGATTTAATAAATTACATTTAGAAAAACCTATTTTATTTGTAAAACATATTTGTCATCTCAAAAATTTTCGATTAATTTTATTTAATAAAAATATTAACACAAGCCACTGAGCTTATTTCAAACATTGAAAAAAAAAAACTAAATACTTTCACGTGATTGTAAATTATTTTTAGAAGATAGATAGATATATATATTAAATACAAATAAATATAAAAATATGTATTATATATGTATTACATATATATATGATTTTATCATTAAAAGCGTGCTATAATTTAAACAAACACTTTTATTGAATTCATAACACACAAAAAAAAAAATTAATAAATTAAAAAACGAAATTCGAGATAAATGTTAATAAATTTGTTGTAAAATTTTATAAAAAAAAATATAAACAAATTCTAAGTAAGCAAGAAATCGTGAGTTTAAATTAATATTTTCGTTCGGAATTTCTAGTATATAATAACTTGAAACTATCTAAACACAACTGTCACAAATTAAGTTACAATAATTGTTAGTTATTTTTTATATAATATGTTGACATACATGAAGGTTTTGAAAAAGTATTAAATAATATTTATTAATGGATTTTTGTGTAAAGTATAGTTTAGGCGTGGGAATTTTAATATCAATAATACTGTCTAATTGTCTAGATTTTGTTATCGGAGATGAGTTAGTTTCTAGATAAGATACATGCAAGTAGCTTTATAATATTTGCTTTGTCATTAGCTAAGTAAAGCAAAAAAAAAAAAATATATAAGATATAATAAATTATTTAACAATGTTTTATAATGCATTACACTAAATAAAATTCAACATTTTTTTATCTTTCACATTTTTTAGGACTTGGAGTTGATGGTCACCGTTTCGGTTACTCAGAACCGAATCAACGACGTTGGGCAAGACATCATGGACACTGTGCGGGTAAAACGCAATCACCGATTGCAGTTCATTCAAGCAAAGTAATTATTTCCAATATTTTTTTATTTTTAATTAATTAAATGTTATTTGAATTGTAAATTTAGAAACTAAGTATATTATTTTATTAAAGTGTATCTAAAAGCACGTGAAGTATAATTACAATACACACGTAAGCAATTGCTTAAGTCCAGTAACAAAAAAATACACTAAGCTCTTCAAAAAATGAACGGGCTGTATTCCGTTGTAAAATTTCCTAATATTACAAGAGGTTTGAAGTTCACGGCGAAATATTCCCATTCTATCAAGACAGTTACAAAGAATGTGATTTGTGATATCATCTACTTCCAAGTAAATTAGACCTATTGTGAGACAGAGACAATACTTAATTGTTTCGGTTCCGTGTCACAGGGTAGTTTTGAGAAATGAACAAGCTGATAAGCTAGCCAGAACTGCATCAAAAACTACTTTCACAGACCCTCAACACTTTTGTGGGTTAAACTGGGCCAGTACAAAACAAATGATCAAGGAGAGGGAAAATCATATGCGGCTGGAGTACTTAGACAAAACGAAGCACTGATAAAATCGTACTTCTACAAAAACATTCTTAAATTCTCAAAATGTGATTTAAGGTTCATAATGAGTTTCATTACAGGTCATTATGACCTAAAATATCACCTTCATAAACTACGACTATCTGTTAATTCGGAATGCAGATTATGCCTTGAAGATAATGAAACTACTATAAATATTATTTGTGACCGTTCAGCTTTAATAACGCACAGAAGAAACTTGTTTCATATGTAATTTCTGTAACCAGAAGCGATTAAGAGCTTCAGATTTAGTTCTGCACTTTATTCACAAAGCTTTAAAGGGCTTTTTGTAATTAATATTGAAATTGGTACAATAGGACTTTTCTGGTCGTGATACCAGCTGCTGCGTGAATTCCGGCGTTAAACTTTTAATAATAAAAATTGTTAAGATAGAGCCCTTTTATTGAGATAATAAAACAGACCAAGGTGGTCCGTTCAAAAACTTGTCTACAAATTCAGCTCTATTGTATTAATAAAGTCTGCCTTACAACATGCATAAAGATGAATGATCTCTTTAGCCTAGCGGTTACCTAGACTACTGCGCTACCACGGATTTAAATAAGTTATGATCTATTAGTTATTCCTTTAGTTGTTATTTTAAGCAACTAAATGAATATCTCCGAGGAAGATGATGAGAGTGCCTCTTATCTTCTTTGTTTTTGCCCAGCTCATGCATGGCGGCAATTTAATACTCTAGGACCCCCTTTCTTGGGGACTTTGACCAATTACAGGACCTGACATTAAATAGCAATTTATGCATCGCCAGAAGTTCTAGGTGGTTTTAAACCTTGAGTTACACATTGTGCCAATGGGTCTAAGTGAATCCAGTAGGGATCGTCGGTATAACCTAACCTAAATGAAATTGTATTTATCGTATTTTATTTATATATTTTCACTTATTCTAACAATTTCATTTATTCAGAAAATTGAAGCCTATTACTGCTGATAATAAATATTAAAATTATTTTCTTATATTTGTGAAAAGAGTAACGTCTACATTAAAAATATTTATTTGATTAAAAATTAAATTAAGAGGTTCGATTATAATTGTGTTACTATATTTATAAGACTAAAAACGTATAAAGTATTGTATTATCGTATCGTAAAATAATTCCTTAGCACCTTTTAATTTTTAAAAAAATAAAAAACAATTTTATTCACTTTTCGACAGACCATACCACTGTATATGCCAGCTATCGATATGATAGGTTACCACAATTTGTTGCCACACCCACTTAAAATATTAAACAACGGACACACAGGTATGTATATCTGAAATACTTACTCCTTAGCCTAAAACAATATTTGTTTTAATTAGTAACATAAACTAATTATGTTTATGAGCATCCGTGTGTGCGCGTAGCGGGGTGCGTAAACAGTACAAAATTAAAACAACAATTTAGGGCTACTGTTTAGGGCTTAAGCCAGCATGCATTAGCCTGTTTAATTTAATATTTCTTTTAATATATTTTCTACCTTTTTCCTGAAACATCACAGTATCAATTACCATACCCAAGCTGAATGCGACCGAACTGAAAAACGGTGAATTTATGCCTTATGTGCGCGGTGGAAAGCTGCCGGGTGAATTCGAGGTGGAAGGCATACACTTCCATTGGGGCGATAAGAACAATCGAGGCGCTGAGCATGTTGTCAACGATATTCGTTATACAATGGAAATGCACATTGTACACCGAAACAAGAAATATGCCACATTGGCTGAGGCATTAGATTATGCAGATGGTGCAGCTGTGCTGGGATTCTTTTTCAATGTGAGCTTATTTAGTCTGCCGGAAATTTCATTTCATTCAATTCCTTTTCTTCTTCTTATAATTCCGCATTGCATTGAGCACATATTTCATTTCTAGATACTTTAATATTTTATTTAATTTTTTGGAAATTGTTGCAAAAAGTAAAATTTTCTTATTCCAATTTTGCAGTTAGATGAAGATGAAGGTCCTGGTTTAACAACAATATGCCATCATTTACATTTGATACCGGATGCAAGTAATGAGATCAATTTAAATGTGACCTTCTCACTTTCTTCATTGATAAACACCGTTGATGTGGACAAGTTTTACACATATAAAGGTAAGTTAAATAATTTAACTTAATTTAGCAAATTAATAAGGGATTCAATTTTGTATTTATTATATAGCAAATACTAATATCTATCGAAAGGATTCATAAATAAATTTTTATGGATATCCTTTGAGAATATTTAATTTTCAAAAGCGTATATAGCAGTTTAATTTTCAATTCAAACAAATTTATTTTTTTTATTTTTTTGAGAATATGTAAAGTATATAGAAAACTTGATTTCTGATTTCTGATACCAAAATATAAACTTTTTCAATTTAAAAAATTGATACACTGTAAAAACATAGTGTTGACTGGCTCACATCATCAAAGACCTGTTAAATCTGTAGTGATACCAGGACTTATGTTGAGGTCCTTCCGACCAGGCACTTTCATTCTTTCTTAGCTGTGGCATTTCTACAAAATTCCTTTCATTTCTTTGACTAATTTATGTATTCCTCACAAGCTTCGCTGGTTATTCGATAACTGATCTGAGATCTGCATAACGTCTCGTACGACTAGTGACTGCTCTGATATTAGATAGTGCTAGACAGGCTAGTGACAGCCTGTCAGTTTTCGCGTATAGCTTCAGGGCTCTGTCTCTTATGTATTTTTTAATGAGGTCTCTTAGCATCTTATTTATGTAGATATAGCATGGCACTTTGACGATTTCTTCGGAGAGCCTAATTTTGAGCAATTTGTAGCATTTGGATAGTAGAATTAGCAGCTTTGCTATATGCGACACACGCCGGTTTGATTAACTTAATGGTATGGTTAAATTTTATTAAATTAACTAAATTTTTGTTCTTGTCTTTTCTTTGCTATTCGAATCCGTCTAAGTTTTAAATAGTTTCTTTTCGTCATAAAGACACGTTATTCTCGGCAAGAAAACATCAATATTTTTTTTTTATTGAAATTATTTAAATTTATCGATTTTTTATAGGAGAACTCTAAATATTGAAATGGATCATATAATAATTTAATAATATATTCATTATTTTCAATGATAAAAGTGATTCACTTACATAAAAAAGGAGGGTAATTAAGTAATTTTTTTTAATTAGAAGGGTATATTTTTTTAATGGAAAACACTATTTTAGTAGTGTAAGTAATTAATTTTTACAATATTTTGTCCATCCATCAGCAAATTGTTTTTAATAGATGATTTGACTACAAATAGCTATTGTTTGAAAAGAAATAAAGAGGGTACCGGCTCCCAACGGAGCGAAGCACTGCCGTCATGGTTAATCTTTTGTGCTGCAACAGACCCTAATCGAATGAAAACCAGAATGTCAGCCGTTGAGGACCTCTTAATGCCAGAAGGGGAGAGTAGTTCTCGACCCAGTGACTTCTCCCTGGCTCAGAACATTGCTGGGCAGTCACAGAGAATGTGACTGGAAGTCTCGTCTGTTTCCAAGCAGAGTCAACAATCCATCTCTTCGGATAGACCCATTTTATTAAGATGATAACGCAGTCCACGGTGACTCGTTTAGTATCCTACCGGTAAACTCAACTCTGTTCTGCTGAAGAAGGATACCTTCCTACAATTGTAGGGATAAACAAGCTCTTTAGCCCGATGGTTACCTGGAATGTTGCGCCAGTAGCGACCTCTCTCGGCTGAAAACTATTTATCGATAAGAGACCTAATTGTAGACCACAATATGGTGTCGACCCAGAAATTTTCATGGTAGATCCTGTCTTCGCAAGATTGTCCGCAGAGTACTGTCCAATTTGAAGTACATCTCGTACTAACAAAAGTATATCGAAAGGAATTCTGAACGTTTATTTGAAATTATTTTGCAAACTCCCAATTAAATTGTTGTTAATTGATTTTTTAAATTTTTTTTTTGTTATTAATTATTTTTAAAATGTTTGTTGCTAGTCAAATTTTATTACAAAAAAAATTGTTTCTTTTTTTTGGTCAAAATAGAGAACTACTATTTTTCTTTCTTTCAACTGCCAAAAAACTCAAAGTTTAATCAATTTTGATTTATTTTAATTTATTTGTGTTGATAATTTTCTTATTGTATTTAATGTATGACATAAGTTCTTTTAATTGATAAGCCAAATAAAAAAAATATAAATAAATAACAGAGATTATTCGCAAATATTTGTTAAATTTTTGCACTCTATTTTGTTTGTTCAAAATAAAATAAAAACAAAACAAAACAAAAGTTAAATTACGTATACGCAGTGAGATACTCAATTAAGCTCATTAGCATAACGTCAATGAAGTCTAATTTACTTACTATAAATTATTAATCAATTTAAAAAATTTGTTGTAAAACTTTGAAAAGTTGTTATTTTTTAACGCAATTCTAAAATATAAAATCAATTAATTGGTTTATTGAATCTTACATGATAACGCATTTATTTTGCGTGACTTTGTGAATTTCCCATGCGTAATCCGAAACGCGTAAATCCGAGCCACGCATTATATCTGTGATGTTAGTATTGATTTCCTAAATTTTTAATAATGTTTATTAGAATAATAAACTTCAGCAATTAATTGGTTATATATATTGTTTTCAGAGGCGAGGCGTCGAGTGGTGCAGAGTGTTCACTGAACACCTTAACAAAGCTTTCTTTTTAGATCTTTTTTTTTTATTAGGTAAAAAATTTGCTATTTTGCTACTTAACATTTTTTATAATACTTTTGCAAACAGATTAACATAAACACAAAACGTACAATACAAACAAAATCACACATACATATGTTAGTTACACTCAACATTTCTTATAGTTAATAAAAGAGAAAACACATTCCTCTTAAAATATACTAAGGTTCAGAATAAAAACTGCACCGCGCTGCTTACAAAGCATGCAAATGAAATAACATTCACATTGGGAACCAAATTATGTTACATTTGACTAGAGATTCAATCGACAAAAGTGAACCATAAGTTCATACAAAGCGTGCAAAAACAATCAAAGTCACGGTTGCCGTTTTATATGAGCAAATGGTTCAGTTAAAAAACTGAACCGTGCATAGCAAATACAAAGTAAAAGAGTAAATGAATGTATGAGAGTTGCTTTCTTTTATGTAGAGGTTGGAAATAAACCAAAAACAAAGTCATTATTGCAATTTTATACTAGCAAATGATAAAAGTAAAGAAAAAAATTAAAGAAATTTTAAGTGAAAAATAATATTTAGAAATGGATAAATGTGTGATTAAAGATTTGATTCAAATATCTTTTTTTAAACGATCTTCTGAAAAAAAGATTTTAATGCATGAAATGAATAGACCAACTCCAGATATGAAGAATTTGGTACCTGATGTAAAAATGTCGAAATCTGTGGTAAATCGCCGTTATCATACAGCTATTTACCATAAAAACCAGTGGATCACAGGCTGCGAACATTTAAATAAATTGTTTTGTTGGTCTTGTACGCTATTTGCTTGTGGAAAGACAAAACTCAGGAGTAGGGGGAATACGTTATAGTTGGATTTCTGTTTTGATCAAATTGTGAACACCTTGCCAAAAAGCTGACGCCTCGCTACTGATTGTTTTTCTTATCAATATTTATTATTATTATTTCCTTGGTGTATTTGCAATGTATTTATCTGCAATACATTGGGTAAAGACTTCGCTTTTAGTAAAAGCATAGAGTGGAGTCAAAGTTTTTCCATAATTGTCTATCAAGAGCATTCAGCGAGAATAGAGTGACCAGGTCTACGTCAACCTTTGAGGCTCCACTCAAAGGCCATTTTCACAATGGAGATGTTGTCTTATACAAATGCGTGTGGAATCCAACACCACTTCCCGATTTTAAACTCTAGTTCTATTGGTATATTATCGTGAGAAGTTCGGTGTGTGAGCTTAACAGTGAGCAGAAAATTTAAAGTATACAACGAACACATTTATTGACAAATATTTGCATTTTCTGTCGGATGCGTTCTTTGACTTTAAACGTTTCAGATCCATATAGAAGGATTGATTTGATGCTAGTGTTAAAGATTTGCGACTTGGTGCAATGCGTGATAAAGTTCGAGGATTAGATTTTCTTCATATTGTAAAATGCATGACAGACTTTCCCAATGCGAGCTAAAACATCATCGTCTGCCCCTCCTTCCTTTGTAACGATGCTGCCGAGAAACAATTAACGTCGTCGATTGTTCTTGTGCTGTTGTCTACTTCTGCAATGAACGGTGAGGTGTTGGTAGTTTCAAGATGCATTAACTTGGTTTATTTGTAGTTTATTTTTAAACCAATTTTATTGGCCTTTTTCGCTAGGAGCTCAAGCTTACCTTTGATGCCTTGTAGGAAGTGAGACAAGATGCAGATGTCGTCGACATAATCCGGCAGTGTCAGTTTTTTCGAGTATGTCATCCAGAACTGCGATGAGAAGCAGCGGTGACAGAGCGCAATTCTGGCGCACGCCTTGAGTGTTACTTAAGCTGTTGCATCAGCTGAGGATAAATGTAAAGTTCTTTCTATCGTATTAGTTAACATCTATATGAACTGGTAAATGTCGCTAAAAGAGCTGACGTTTTTGATTTTATCTCATTTCCGATATTTTTGTAGCACTGTAAGGCCGACTGAGCTTACCATAATATTCCCCGATGGCATATGCCAATTTAAAATGCAAGAGATAAATATCTAGTAATATGTAAATGCGTTTCCTTGAAAAGTTGAAAGCTACTCTATTATATAGATGCCCCTAAATGCAATATCAGTCTATCAAACAAGAAAATTTTAGATTTGTTTTGGTAAATTTTTTTTGTTTTTTGACATTTCGAATAGGTTTGTTTAGTATGCTATAAAACAAATAAAAAGATAGTTATTTGTGTTGACAAAAAGTTTTAAAAATACAAAATATCTAGACTAATATTCAAAGAAACCAGATTTTATACATCGTAAGAAAATGATTCGTTAATAAAATGCATTCAATTAATAAGTAATTTTTATAACATGTATACATTACCAACAATTAATATAGCTTTATATTTTTCATTTCATCTATACAGTAATAAAAATGTCATTAAAAAAGTAAAACAAAGAATTTAGTTATATATTCTTCCATAAACATTAACATCGGCACGAGGAACATTATAAGCACTCCCAGTTGTGTATACTGCACAACCTCCATTCGGGAATGGTAAAAAGGTAGTTCTATCATTCAAAAATTTCGCTTCTACTTTATCTACAAGATATATGAAAGATATATGAAAATATTTTTTATAATAAACGTAAAAAATATATATGAATCTATTTATAAAAAAAATTCCAAAACTTTAAGATACATTAGAAATATTTTATTATCTGTTGCTTCTAGTAAATACTTTTAAGTAAACATATTACTTGCACTAATAAATGAAATAATTAGTAATTTTTTTTCCTTAATGCCCAATACCATTTTAAGTTACTTAAGTTCATATAAAAGTAAAAACATTTTAGTTAGTTATTTTTCCATAAACATAAACATCGGCTCGAGGAATATTGTAAGCAATCCACGTTGTATAAAGAGCGTATTCTCCACTCGGAAATGGTAAGACTAAAAATCTAGAATTCAAGAAGTTCGTATTCAATTTCTCCACAATTAAATCGTGCTAGAAAGTTATTATTTTAATTAACATTTTGCTATTTAAACGTTATTTGCTTATTTATATTTTTTTACATACATCATAAGGACACGTGTGATTCATGTTAGAATGTTCTCGAAAAAAGCTGTGAAAGTATTTCGTAACTGGATTTTTCTGTGATTTCAAAAATTCACAAGCATCTAGAGATATATTATACAAAAAAGGTTTATAACCGCTCTCTTTTTTTAATAATGCATAACGTATCTGTTAATATACATAATTTAATAATATTGAATAACTAAAACGTAACAAAATATACATACCGTAACACTAGTTATAGGCACTTTGAAGAGTTTCACTTTTAATGACATATATTTATAGGAACGATTTACTGACTTTAGGTAGCAATAATCGAAGTCGGCAAATTCCTTATCAAGCGGCATACACTTAATATTTGTGAATTCGAATAAACAGATGACCTATAAATAAATTTAATTTATTTATTTGTTAATTAAAATAAAAAATATTTATTATTACTGTATGTAAAAGGAATACTCGAAGGATTATAATTCTCAATATCATTTGAACCATTATTATTTCTAATAATTTATTAACAAAAGATATAATTTTTAGGAATCTTTGCAAAAGACTACAATTCTGAACGTTACGAAAGATCATTAAATTTTGAACTGAATGTTAAGATCATTTGAACTGCATTTTTATTATTCTTTAATAATTAAAACTCCATTAATGATAGTATCACTGTTTTTTAAAAATATTGTCATATTGATTAATTGATATTGATAATCTTCAACTGTTTTCGTGGTTTTAAAAGTGATATTTTTATTATCCATTTAAATAGCATTAAAATCCATTGTACCAGTAGCGAGAAATCGGTTGATTCTAGCGGCCAATTCTAATCGCCAGAACGTGAAACTATGACTATAACAGTGGTGTGGCTAATATTATACTAAGAAAAAGCGGAGAGGGAATATGTCATCTTTCATTGTCGAAGTTTTGCTACTGTTCACTGAATAAAATAGTAAAATAATGACACAAATTACAGAGGGAAACTTACATCTATAATATCAATTAGAGTTTTATGACCAGGGGGGATGTACAAGAGAAATTTTTATACAAAATTAATTATAATAAGAGGTAACAGCATTTTTATTTATAAACATATCTATATGTATATAACTATGTGTATATAAAAAGTAATTATTCTTTTAGGGCTATAAAAGCTTTATTAAAATACGCTCTCTGTTTGAAAATTAAAACTAACCATTCTATGGTTTTTTTTGATAGTTGTGTTTAAAAGTTTGCAAGCTTTTTCAATATTTCAATGTTTCAATATTATTATGATCAAAATTTATAGTACATATTAGTGAGGAAATAAAAAAAACGTGTCTTTCTCAGAATTGTTGTCTGTTATCTTCAGATATTATTGTCAAAAGAGAGAAGTATCCGTTTAATATCCTTTCCCTTCTAAATACGCAATTGCGGTAAAACAATTTGAATTGGCAGTTTGTGTTACGCTTTCGTTAGAACTATCAGGTTGGTTTTCCTTAACCTAATGGAGGAGTCGTTACCTTTTTCAGTGTTAGTCGCATACTATGGTTCCACAATGGGCCATTAATGGGGCTCAACTGAGATTTTTGGATACAAGGCCGCCACTTCAACCTACTTACCTGCGAACTTTTTCGCCGCTTTTAAGAAAGAAGTACGAAAATAATTTTTATAATAAATGTAGTCCTGTAATCTATATGAATATATTTATACTAAGATTCCAAAACTTTAAGATATATTAGAAATATTTTATTATCTGTTATTTCTAGTGCGTACTTTTAAGTGAACACATTACTTGCACTAATAAATAAAATAATTAGTAATTTTTTCTCCTTAATGCCCAATACCATTTTAAGTCACTCAAGTTAGTATAAAAGTAAAAACATTTTAGTTAGTTATTTTTGCATAAATATAAACATCGGCTCGAGGAATATTATAAGCAATCCACGTTGAATAAACGGCGTATTCTCCACTCGGAAATGGTAAGACTGAAAATCTAGAATTCAAGAACTTCGTATCCAATTTCTCCACAAATAAATCGTGCTAGAAAGTTATTATTCTTATTAAAGTTTTATTATTTGAAAGTTATTTGTGTATATATATATTCTTTACATACATCATAAGGACACGTGTGATTCATGTTAGAATGTTCTCGAAATAAGCTGTGAAAGTATTTCGAAACTGGATTTTTCTGTGATTTAACAAATTCACAAGCATCTACAGATCTATTATACAAAAAAGGTTTATAACCGCTCTCTTTTTTTAATAATGCATAACGTATCTGTTAATATACATAATTTTATAATATGGAATAACTATGACGTAATAAAATATACATACCGTAACATTAGTTATAGGCACTTTGAAGAGTTTCACCTTTAATGACATATATTTATAGGAACGATTTATTGACTTTAGGTAGCAATAATCGAAGTCAGCAAATTCCTTATCAATGGGCATACACTTAATATTTGTGAATTCGAATAAACAGATGACCTATAAATAAATTTAATTTATTTATTTGTTAATTAAAATAATAAATATTTATTATTACTGTATGTAAAAGGAATACTCGAAGGATTATAATTCTCAATATCATTTTAACCATTATTATTTCTAATAATTTATTAACAAAATATGTAATTTTTTGGAGTTACGTTTTCTGAATGCTACCACAGATCATTTAATTTTTAACTAAATGTTAAAATCAATAAATTGTATTTTTATTATTTTTTAATAATTAAAATTCGATTAATGATATTGATTAATTGATACTGATAATCTTCAACCATTTTCGTATTTTTTGAAGTTTTGTTTTTAATATGTATTTAAATTTTAATAAAATCCATTGTACCAGTGCCGAAAATTCGCTTGAGTTTAATAACCAATTTTTATTACTAGAACGTGAAATAACGAGTCGCGTTGAGCGCACAGTCATATAAATATAACAAAATAATATTTGTGAGTCCATAACAGTGGTGTAGCTAGATATTAGCTTTTTAGTAGATATTACGGTTATAAACTATTTAAAAACTATTTCAATATGTATATTTCATTTTACATACACAAAGAGGACATGCGTGATTCATGTTTGAATATTGTCGAAATAAGTTGTAACATAAAAGTAACTCGTAACTGGATTTTTAGGTAATCGAAGGAACTCACATGAATCTATTGACATATTGTATAAAAATGGTTTATAACCGGTCGCTTTCTTTAACAAAGCAAAACGTATCTGTTGAGATACATCATATTATAAAATTAAACAGTTTAAAAGTAAAGTATACGAGTATACAGACCGATACATAAGTTGTAGGCACTCTAAAGGGTTTCACCTTAAATGACATATACTTATAGGAACGATTCACTGACTTTAGGTAAGAATAATCGAAGTCGGCAAATTCTTTGTCAAGGGAAATACATTTAATATTAGAGAATTCGAATAAACAGATGATCTATAAGTAAATTTGAAATAATATATTTTGTTATTGAAGAGGAAATCTACTTTTAGTGAAGTTAAGATAAATAAAATCAAGATTACAATTCTCAATAACGTTTTAACCAAATGCATAAAAAACTAAATTTTAGAAAATACTGTAAACAAATGTATCTTCAATTAAACTAAACTGTATTAATTTAAAATCAAATAATTATACTTATTTACTATTACAATAATTATAAACCCATTAATATTTTTATCATTAAAAACTAAATTAAAATCTAAATTTTTATTTCTATTTAATACACTTATTGCAAAAACTTTATGATGCTCGTGCGAATATAAGCGAAGTTTTTCTTCTTAAGTGAGGGTATTATGCATGGAACCGATATAAAAATGAACATAACGTTTAATATAACGTTTTGGTTTAAATCCGATGGAAGTACTCTGAAGGATCGCAACTAGTCGTTGTTGAAAGATGAATTCACTACAAATAGCTTTTGTTTATTTCTTCTGAAAGCAGTCATATGTTTAATTAATAAACAAACTAATAACAAATTTCTTATAAAAGCCTACAGGACCATCCTCAAATAAATTAAATTTATTATTTAGATCTCTCTGGACTAAACAAGTTAGGCATTTTGTGTACAATGATGATAATAATTTTTGTTTTATAATAATTAATATAAAAAAAGCAATATGATTTAAAGTGTGAGAATCGCAAATAGACGAACCTAGAGAATAACTATTCAATAATTAAATATATCAATAGTTGATATGACTACTAAATTATATATATCAATGCAAGTATATATATTGTGATAAAAATTTTTTGTCATTGATTTGAATTGTGATATATTCCACAAAAAACAATCTCCAAAAATTCAAGCTCACTAATCTTAAACTCCCTCTCTCCAATTAAACTACATAAATATGATTATTCTAATATATTTTTATTGTCTGTCGGATATAATTGAATGTTATGTTATTTATTATGCGAAGAATATTAAGTTTTTTATCAGGTATATAATAATTTTACTTACCTGGATTTTTTGGATTTTGCTTTAAATATATATATATATACACTTGAGTTTGTCTAAAATAATCTGCCAACATTTGTCAATAAACAAAATAAATCAATTAAATTTTAATTTGATTCTGAAATTACTGTGATTTCACTTCAATATCGAATATCGTGAAGTCATTAGCCTATGATTAGCCTAAGTGTTTGTCAAATAAATTAAATGACTAAACCGTATCATTGGCAGACAAGGATGTATAACAATTATTACTTGAGTATCGCTTGGCATACTTAATGATGTGGGCGCTCAGGTGAAGGAAGATTAACATAGCAAAGCTCTTCAAATGTCAGGAAAGCAGCGAGAAAAAAATACTCGTATATATAAATATTTAAGAAATTTATTATTAAATGAAACGTGAATGAAATAAGAAATAGTATAAAATAATAAGATATGATAATAAAATATTTTTAAATTATTTCAGTACCTATATACTGAGTTTCACACGTTTAGCGATTGATATAAGTATAGGATTGGTGAAATTTAATATTTTAATAATAAAATTATTTAAAAATAAATATGCAGCTTTATCTATTAAAAAATGTATGGTCGAAATTATTACTTTTATTACAAATAAAAAAAAGATTAAATATATAACTAAAAATAATGAAATCCAAATTAATAGTTTCATTCTTTTATAAATCAAATAAACACTTAATTTTAAAAATTAAAATGAGTGGAAAACAAATTAATTGAAATTATTTTTATTACAGGTTCTCTAACAACACCTCCATGTTCGGAAGCAGTAACATGGGTACTATATCCTGATCCAATACCAATATCACCAAAACAAGTACGTAAAAAGTAACTTCGTTTTTGAATTAAATTTATTTCATTTAATTTTCAAATTTTTAATTTTTATTAACATGAATTTTTTATTTTTATAGATTTCACGTTTCCGTCAACTATTGGATACTCAAGATGGTGCACTTGTTGATAACTACCGTCATTTACAGCCACTTGGTAATCGTCTGGTTTTCATGCGGATTGGCAACAATCGTCACACGAATGTAGACCATTTAAGTAATCAAATTGACTATAGGAAATGGGATTGGTTTCATTGATTCTTCATTTCAATAGAGTTTCCATTATATTTTATACCGGAAAGTTAGATGCTGTTTTTTTTATTAAAAATAGACAATTTTCATTTTGAATTATTCTATATTAATTTAACTTTAATTAAGTTAAAAATTTGAAAATAATTCATCTTGATGTATATTTCAGTTATTGTGAAATATTTCATTAAAACTTAATAAATTTTAACTTTGAGTTTAAAACTATTTTTAGTTTAAAATATATTAAAAAATTATAATAAGAATTTTATTTTAATGGCTTCAATTTTTAATATTAATTAAATAAATACATAAATTATTTTTTATAATATAAAAAATGTTTTTCAAAATTTTTAATGCATTTTTATTCAATTTATTACAAAAGTAACAAAAAATTTGAAAAATTTTATTAAAATGTACTCGTAAACATTTTATAAGATTTACGTGTAGGCAAATAACAGAAATTCAATAATTTTCTGCATTTGATGATGCATTTGATGATGATGAAGCTCAAAGTTAGTTTTCATTAGCTAACTAACCCAAAGCCATATTTGACTTATATGTGCTTCCTCCCATTCCACAATTTATTCTCGAGCCATCCGTACAGATTGAGATATCGTAATTTGCTTGAAAGTTTTTCATCTCCTTTCGTTTCCTGATTATCTTGACATTATCTAAAAATTTCCTTCAAAGTTTAGGCATGAATACAGATAATCTGAAGTCATCCTATACAGACAGTTTAGAACTGTACTACAATCCAACTATGTCCACATGAGAGTTTCGACCAGACGTCTGTCGCTTTCAACCTAACGATATTTCCAAACGATATTTGTAATACGAAGATCGATGGGTATTATTTTACTTATAATTTATTCCAACATATAATTATCTAGCATATCTTAAGTAAATAAATAAAACAACTGTAGAAATATTCAATATATCAAGAGAAAACAATCTATTGTAAAACTTATAAACCAACTAGTTTTATATCTTTGTGAATAGTCAATTTCTGACAGGCGTAGTGATGAGCACTTTGTCGGCAATAAGAAGTGGACAAGATATAGACTCGCTTACTCTTGAGTTCTTGAACCTGTAAAACCATTGTAGCGCTTACGAAGGAGTACTAGTTTTAAATTTAGAAGAAATAATTGATGATTTTTTTATGAGTTGATTATACTAATTTTGACGTTTTTAGTTTAATGGTCTCACCAAAAATCATGAAAGCCTCTTAAACAAAATATTTCTTTTTATTATATATATATATTTTATAAATCATTATATATGTATATATATTCGTCTATGTAAAAGCAAATAAAACCTTATTAGTTTGTTTATTTTTTTTTATTTAAAACAAGAAAAAAATAATTACAAATCAAAGTTGTTCTCAAATTTAATTAGCTTTTCTTTTTATATAATTCCTTTGATGTAGGAATATCTTCAACGAAAAAGTTTGCCGGTATAATGTCAAATACTTTGTGTAAAATATCAAATAGTACACGTTCAACTGTCTCTGAAATCAGAGGCCTTAAAGCCTCAAAGAATTCAGGCCAATTTTCATTGAAAAATTGATTTGTGCTTCGCTCTACTTCTAAACTTCTGCCATTGAATAAATTATCGAAATAGGTTTTCAAGCCACCCAGATTAAGATCCACGCGTATATTTGTAACATTGTAGAATGTAAAGTTGCCTCTTTCAAATAAACGCGTCTTTGTATGCATTATTATATCCAAATTTTCTATACAAAAATAATAATATTTTTTTTATATATTAATACACTTTTATTAATTAGATATATATTATATCAGTACTGTCTCTTATTAATGTTATAGGCTTACCAAGTTCAATAAACATTTTTCCATTCCCACTCAAAGGTATTAACAGAATTCTTCCTTCCATCTTATAATTTCCGTCAATGCGAAAATGTGGTATAAATATTTTCGTTTCCCAACTGAAGTCTTTTTTACTTACTCTAAAATTAATAAATAAATAAACAATTAATTAAATTACTCATTAATTTATTTTTAATAATTAATATTTATAGTTTACTTACCGACTTTCTTTGATTTTAAGTTCCTTAAGACCTCTTACGAGCAAATTAGTCAAATTAGCTCTAATGGTAACGGCTTCATTGTTGTCCTGCTTAAATAAAAGTTGATCAAGTTTCATTGGATCAAGTGAACCAAATTCTTCCTTTAATTCCGGTAAGCTATTTGTAAATATATAACTCATTACACCTTGTATACTTTCAGTCGAACATTTTGTAAACTCTGGTTTATATATTGTACAACTTTTCAAATAGTCCGCTGTAAATTAAAAAGAATTATTTAATTTAAAAATAAAATAAAAATAAAATATTTATCAGCTCAATATGTAACAGCCTAAATCCCTTCATATTCCTAGACTATCGAAGAAGAGATATGTATCGCACAGAATAAAATACTTTAACCTTTAACCAAACTTTAACTTTAACCAAAGGTTAGATACGATAATTCGATTTATTAAAATTTGTAATAAGTTCAATAAGTTTTAATAAGTATTTTATAAAAGTGTAGATAACTATAAAAATAAAACTTTTGAGTTTTGTTTTCTAAACTATTTTCGTGATTCCATTTTAATTTGTTTGTAAATATCTTAAGACCTTCTATGACTGTTAGGAAAGGCGTTTAACTGTTTAGTGCTTATTAAATTACATATTAAGTAGAGAGATTTTCAAACAGTAGTAAACTACAACAACAAAAATTGATTTTTATATTATTTTAATTAATTGAATTTTTGGCTGACCGTACAGCTGTTTCGAGTATTGCCAAATACACATAATCAGTGGTCTTGGAAATAGTTTTTGTATTTAATTATTCGTAAATAATTTTTAGGGACTGCAAGTACCAGGAATCAAACTTGTGCTCTGCCAAATTTGAAGCTCAGAGTCAGCGCTCCTTAACTGACTGACCAAAAGTCGTACTGGACTGTTATGTTCGCACATTTTTCTGGAGTTTTGTTGATTTACTGTGAAAGTTTTATTAACAAATTCACTTGATCAAAAGTCAAATATATTAAAAAGAATTGAGCAAAAAAAAAAAAATTAATTAGCTTTTAATTAAATAATGTATAGTGAAATTTGATCTGCATGTTGATATCAAGCGTGTTTACATTAACTTTTACTATTAACTTTTAAAAAGTAGCAAAAAACACAGAGTTTAAAAGTTCTCAAAAACTATTAAAAAATAAAAAGATGAAAACTTCTCTTCTTAATATATAATTGCAAAAATACATACGAATTTGTCGGATATTGTAGCACAAAAGTAAAAATATCTGATTATATTTCTATAGATGTTTATTTCGATAGGTAAAAGACTTGTCAAATTATACAGCATATTTTATTCAATATTCTATTCAAATAATAATATCATATATGATTAGTAATATAATATATGATTAGTAAAAAAGTATTATTTATTTTCTTAACAAGGTTTATTGTAAATTTACACAGTTAATACTTTCTTCAATTGTTCTTATTTATTTAATCTTTTCAATAAAAGGTATAAGTTTAATATCTTCAAAATATTTGAATAGTTCGAGCATTCGCAAAATGATTTGTTGAACTTAAAATATAATCGTATAAAAATATTTCTTGTTATATAGCTAAATATTTAATAACATATACTATAAAGTAGAGTATATTAATATGACGAAACTTTTGCTTAAAAATAATTAATATCATTTACTTAGATAATGAACTTTAATTGACTTTAAGCTCAATTAAAATAAATAAAATATTGCGAAGTGCACTTAATGTTCATATTTGTTTACTATTTACTACAATTTTTTATTGGCAAAGTTAAAAAATAAAATATTTATTTTTTAGGTAACTTGATATTTATTTATAAATAAAAGTGCACAAGCTCACATATATGCAGTATAAATACTATTAAACCAAGAATTATTGTAATAATACCAGCAAAAAACACGAATAAGTAAAGATATATTATATTTTAATACCATTATTAAGTAGAAATTTGAGGAATAAAACTTTAGTTATGTCGAAACTTATTTCGTTATTTAGTATATATATATAAAGATTTTGAGAAAAAGAAAACATTAATAAGAATAGTACTTTCTACATACACATATGGATATGGTTTTTAACTGCAGCTACACTATATTATAATTAATTGAGTGATTTTATTAGAAACTACAAAAAAAATTAATATATTATAATATATAACCCCTCTTGACACAATCCTGTCTATATAAGTGGGTTCCTGAAATGAGTTTAAACTCATCTTGGCTAAGACAAATCGGCGAGCTCTGAAACAATTTAATTGCCTCACGTAAAATTAACTTATTATTTGACGGAATAATAGCTATTTGCCACCTACAAGATATATAGTGGTATCGCTAAAAGTAGTCTTGTAAGCCTATAGGTATAATGAAGGTATAATAAAACTTTTTAGACTTTGGTTCAATTAACGATATTTGGAGATACAGAATTCATTTTTTAGTAACCGTAGCTCATGAAGAAACGCAGAAGTTCTGGTTGGTTAGTTAGTTGCAGTGGCAGGCCATAAGATAACTTCAAATGTACCTCAATTAGCGGTTTTTCGCCGTTTTGCTACCACATTCCTCGCAAGAACCCTAGTATAGAAGAGTAGAGTCTAAATTCATCCCCCCGAATTTAGATAATTTAATAGGTCTTTCATCTTCACCGTTGAGCAGTCTGATAAACTATCACCGCAGTATTTTTCTGAGAACCTATATCTTCTGAACGCTAGAACCGGACATTCACAGAGAAAATGTGTTATTGTTTCTTTCTCCTTCGGGTTTCCACAACTTCTGCAGTGAGGGTTATGGGGAATACGTAGTTTCTCTGCATGCGTTTCTATACACCAATGACTAGTAAGAACTGCAATAAGCCTTGCAGTGTTCACGCGATCTCTTTTGGTGTGCTCCGAAGATGACTTAAGTGCTTTCCATATGTTATTGGCGAGTTGCAGAAAGTAAAGGAATGTACATCTTTTGATGGTCTCCAGGTTAATATGAACTAGTACCGCTAGTGATGCTTCTAGGGAAGCACCAGAGCGGGCTAAACTGTCAGCTTTCTCATTACCTACTATGTTTCTATGCCCAGGAACCCAGATGAGGGTGATAACGGCCAATCTATTTAGCTCGTTGATTGTTTCTCTACATTCCTTTACTATTTTTGAAGAAGTTCTATTCTGTAAGTCAGAAAATCTGAAGATACCGATTTTAAATGTAATAATAACCATTAGCACGTTCAGTTAAGAAAGCAATGTTTAATTTAAGTTCATATCAATCAAGATAGAGAAACCGATGAACATTTTTGTTATTCAGGTATTCAGATAAGTATAGTTTCACCAAATGGGATTTGATGGTCCTGGATTGAAGAGATGGTCTTAGAATATACCTATATAGTAAAGCTAGTAATACTTTTTTAGGCATTTTATAATGCAGATGTAATTGGTATGTAACTAAACGTGCTCCCTTATTCAATATTGTACCTAGTATTAATAAGTATTACAATTACAATAAACAATTAACAAGTTATGAATTGCTGGTAGATTTAGATAGATGTTTAGTAATTTATCTATAGTAGGTATTTAATTTTTGAAATTGTTTGCAAAATTAAAAACCAAATAAATTGAAGGTTATTGCTAAAAATATGAAGTACATTTTAAAAAAGATACAAAATATTAAACTGTATTTCTAATTGACATCAATTCATATTATGTAAATTATTTGAAGGTGTTAAAATATATTTTGTGATTTATTAGCATTCTTGCCTAATTTTAGAATACATATATATATGCATTTTTAATATTTACTACAAAGTTTTTTTATATTTGATAAAAAAATATGGTGTAAAAAATATCTTTAAATAAAATAACTAAAATACTACAAATAAAGTATTTTTGTTTAAATGCCGGCTTTGGCATGTTATTACGTGTCACTAATTTAAGTGAGGGTCAGTGTAAAGCTATTTTTGAAATATTTTTGCAAAAATGGAAATTAACTTTAAAATTAAATTTTAACTTATAATAAAATTTGTTACAGCATCCAGAGTCAGTATAGAAATTCGGTAGTTTCTATATTGTTTTTATTAAAATTATGTTCTAATAAAAAATCTTGCAAATATACTCTACTTAAAAATGCTTAAAATTATAAATTTGAATTAAAATAATACAAATTAAAACCAAATTTACAATCGTTATGAACTTTATGCATAGTAATTAAGTTAATATACTTAATTATACAGCAAATAGTTAAAAACAATAAAGTAATACATATAATATTTGCATAGATGCCATCTAAAAATAATCTAATTTAAAACTAATTATCTGTATTAAATGATTTACGTCAGTAAATATTTGTTTAAGCTGCGTTTATAGTTGACTTATAACCTCTAAAAATTAATTGTGTCATATAACTATAAGCACTGTGTAAAGTGTTTCCTTCTAAGGTGAACTATATTTAGATGCATATATGTTTATATAATTGTTTTATAAAATAATTGTTAGTATTAGGTAGATTGAAAAGAAAATTTATTATATCTTTATTTGCCATACTAAAAAAAAATAAAGGGAGTACTATAATTAAAACTAAGTAATGAGTTTTTTATTAAGCGTTCAATAAGGAATATAGGTTAAGGTTAAGGTTGTTAGTATCAAAATTGATGGAAGTATATCTACACTCTGTAGAACACAGTGCTCAAAGGGCTCAAAGAGATAGAAGTGTTTTATAATATTTACGTAGTTAGTAGTTCATTGAAAATAGTTCCGAAAATAGTTTAATTGATATTAATATTGTTAATTTTTTCCGTCTAACTTTTATCGTTATTTGGACAAAACGAATTTTTTTTATCTAAATTTAGAGTTTTAAAAAGTTAAAGGTGCTTTTGACAGTTTTATATAGAGATTCTTTTTTCAGCACAAAGTTAATGTTCCAGAGATCATAGCCCAAAACATAAATTGATGGTGTATTGTGAAAAATGTGTGATAATAGACTCTAGTATTTATTATTCTAATAGAATAATAGATAATAGACAGTATAGGATGAAGTTAATGAGATCACACCCCAAGTCATAAATTGATGGTGCATTGTAAAAAATGTGTGATAATATACTTTAATATTTATTATTCTAATAGAATAATAGACAATAGACTGATAATAGACTATAGGACAAACTGAATGTTCCAGAGATCACACCCCAAATCATCAATTGACGGTGCATTGTGAAAAATGTATGATAATACACTCTTATATTTATTATTCTTATAGAATAATAGATAATAGACAGTATAGGATGAAGTTAATGTTCCAGAGATCACACCCCAAGTCATAAATTGACGGTGCATTGTGCAAAATGTGTGATAATATACTCTATTATTTATTATTCTAATAGAACAATATGTAATGGACAGTATAGAACATTTTTGACGGTAAAAAAATTGGCCATTTTGATAAAAGATAACACCTTATGTTTTTATCATATTCTACATATTTTTTTAAATTTATGCTTTAACCGCATTAACTGTTAGCAAAACATATATCAATCAATTGTTTAGCCAGGTGGTATTAACTTATTACGAATGGTACTTTTGAAATCTGATAAAAAATTAAGCATTGTCTTCCTTGTCTTCGATTTGGCAATTAATGTTATTATTGCTAACATTATTTTCCAACAAGATAATTTTCATGAAACAAATATTATTAGATATGAAGTCAATTTTTGGCCAAATCGTTGCCGCCTATAATAAAGTGGCTTGATTTTGTTATATTGCTATTCAATTAGGCACTTACTTTTCTGACTGGTGTTGAGTACTAAGTAGGCCATGCCGGTCTACTTGATCGTTTCGTTTATGTTCACTAAATTTTACAGATGTTAGATATTTAGCAATGTATAACATAGTTATATGGGTACTCTATATATATCTTTTGATTAAAAATGCATCACTTGAATGTAATATTTCATCTATTCGTTTTCTATTCGAAAAAGATTTTTTATGATAAAATATAACATTTTTATCTAAAAATTATTTTTGTTTTTAGTTCTCTTTTTAGTTCCTTTTTTTAACAAATTAATCAGAAACTGTTAAAATTTGAGGATACAATTTTGAGCAAGTAGTTGAAATATCACTATTTGTAGTTAAAATCTAGTATATTTAGTAGATTGAGCCAGTGAAATATTTGAAAATCAGTGAGGTAGACGTTGCAGATATGCACTGCAAAATATTAAATATATGTATTGAATCAGTAGTGACAAAAGCCTCGATTTAGACATGTCTATTTGGCGATGTTTTAGTTTTTTTTAGTCAATCGAATGAAAATTTGCAAAGACATTTTCTATGGTTTTGGTTCAGTCAAATTGACAAATATGTGTTTTGAATTATTAGGTATTTTTAATATAAAACAATTGCTGAAAAAAATTAATTCCATCGAATTTTATATAAAGAAATATCCGAGGGAAATCTAGAAAGCAAATGTGCTCGTAATGAAGTTCTAATATAGCTCTTCGTTATTCTTTATTCAACACTAATGGCAAATTTTATTTTAAAAACCATTTTACTAAAATTTATTTATTTATTTTATGGTATTATTTACATTTTTTATTAACTCTGGTATTTTTATATATAAATTGATTCTTGGATAAAATTTACATTTCAGCTAATACAGATAATATAGAAAATCAACAGATAATCAATAAAATAGTCAATTTTAGAGAAAAAATTTGTCAACTGGGGGTAACTCGGTTCAGAAAATAATCACAAGATATTTGATTATCTAAAGATCCGTTGAAACATGAATGGACATATTTTATTGTATTATTTACATTTTTTATTAACTCTGGTATTATTATATATAAATTGATTTTTGGCTAAAATTTACATTTGAGCTAATACAGATAATATAGATAATCAACAGATAATCAATAAAATAGTTAATTTTAGAGAAAAAATTTGTCAACTGGGGGTAACTCGGTTCAGAAAATATTCACACCATATTTGATTATCTAAAAGGAAAGATCCGTTGAAACATGTATGGACATAGAAACCGTATAGCTTAACTGAATTGTTTCATTATATTGATTAATAATATATATAGTTATTTTTTCTTCATTGACATACATATTTGGAAGAAATTAATATAACATATGTTTTTTTTCACAAGTGTGTGGCGGGTAGCAAAAGGCATTAATACATATTTCCATATATATGTATATATATTCAATAATTTCAATACGTATTTGAAAATAGTAATTTATTAAAAATTTAATTATGATATTAACACTTATTACATAGTTGTTGAAAAATAATATTATCATAAATATGTATTTTTTATTTACAAATTTGAATTTTAAAAAGTTATTTGATTTTTCGCAATTCATATATAATATATATAAGAATAAATAATATATATGTGGTGTGATTTTTCATTATATTTTGTTTTCAATTTTCGGTAAACTAAATAATCATTTTATAAAAATATTTTTAATTTGTTATTTAAAAAAAAAAAATCACTGGACACTGTATATATTGATTTTCGCTTTGATTTACATATGGATTTTATATAAAATGTTCAAAACCGCACTTACGTTTTGTAGTATAATATTTCACACATGTAGTAATATTTATATAAAATAATAAAATTAATATAATTTTTTTATTTAAAAATTTGTTTAAAATTTGCTCCATCACGAAAAGGTAGGTACACGGCTTAAAACTACTTAAATTAATCCGAGCACGCGTCGTAGCTTTGTGATGCTACCAGACAATACGAACGAATGTTGGAAATTTCATATAGAACTTCCCTTTTTATAAACTGTAAGCTCGGCTTAAAGACAAGCTAGAGAAACAAGTTAGAATTATAATTTGTTCTGATGTTTGATTTTAATAGTCTACAAACATTTCTTTTTCAATTACAATTCATTTATGTGTATAATTCATTTTTACTTAAGTACTATGTTAAGATAATTTTAGGAGATTAAAGATGTTTAGATATGTGGGTTTAGTACAATCAAATCATTAAAAAATATAACAAATATTTTAGAATTAAATTACTGTATAATAATATCACAATAAATATATGGTTTAAAGCAATAAGTAAATTAGAATTGATTTTTTTTAAATGTCATGTAATCAAAGCATGCTGATAAAGGGTTATAAGATTATAAGAGTATACTTAAATTCTGCTTGAAGAATTGACATAGAGCAAATCCATATGGTATAAATTGCACAGTAGTACTATCAACATCAAATTAATTATTACAAATTTATTACATACAAAATTTAATAAACTATATTTATAATTATTTTGCTGATACCCGATTTTAATATAAATAAGAATATATTAACTTCGTTAAGATGTCTAAAGTATGACTAATTCCGATATGTTAATATCTACGTTACAAAATCTTAAATAATTTATTATTGACTTGGTAAAATCGGTTGAACAATTTTGGTTACCTTATACGTATAATACATGGATTAAATTATATTAAAAACACTTAACCTTATTATGAATTGAAACCTTTATATAGATGAATATAAAACAAAAATGCTGGCTAAAAGCGTTATAAACGCTTAAAATACTTATCAATATTATAAAAGTAGCACTAAACATGAGAATAGATGCTAATTAAAATTATTAAAAATATTTCTTTAACTAATAATATAATAATAACAGTAGTGTTAGCTAACAGCACTAAAAATTTTGAAGAGAAAATAATGTCAACGTTTACCGGAAATATTATTTCATAAATATTATTATTATTATATATTTAATTATTATTTGATTGCTTAAATATTGAAATACTAAAATTTTTTTATTTTTTAATACATTAATACAAATTTTTTTTATTGTTTATAGATAAAACAGTTTAAAATAGTCTTACTATTCCTCCACATAGGCTGTCCTGATCAAATTCTACTGACATCTGCTTACGGTTAATCTCGATAACCTGAACAACTTTGTTGAATATGAGGTATCATTTCTTTACAGGAAGTAAAGTTATGATAGCAGACAACAGAGGGGATGTTAATTTACAAAATATGGGTAAGACGTTGGTTAGACAAAATATTTCACAACAAAAAACCATCTCTGATGCATACTCCATAAAGAATGCTAAAAATAAATCCGCGTTCTTATAGTGATGATGATGAGTGATAACCTAAAAACATTATTATTATATATTAAAGATGCCATCAACTCTTATTTAAATATGTTTCTTAATATGTACAAACAATTAAAAATTATTCATATTAAATGAATAATAATATATATTTATAATAAATAATTTTTAATAGGGTAAATAAAAATAAATTTGAGCTTAGTATTAAGTTCTTAGTTTAATAAGGTTAATCGATCAAAAGCATTGCTAACGTTAATGTTTATATTACAGAAAAGGTTTATATTAATATAGTTAGAATTCTAATATGTTTGATATGCAGATATAAAATTTTTAATTATCCTCATTTTCTTTGATGGCAATAATATATAAAAATAATTATGTACTTCTACAAAACAGTGTGTGGGATCTAATTAATATATTGCTAACATATCCGTAATATACTTCGACGTTGTGCTTGATGTAACAGTAACTAAAATCTTGAATGAAATTTTAAAAGTAAATTGAAAAATTACTTTATATATTATTATTTTCATATAAATAAATTATTGTTCCAAAGAAAATTTGTTTTGATTTTGCATTTGACTGATAATCGTTCTTCAGTATAAATAAAACATCAAAAATATTGCAATACTAAAGATTATAAAATCAGTCTTAATAAATTGTTAAATTCATTCATCAAATAAATCAGACAAAAGCCAGACTCTTAGATAAACGAAGGCCTTCATAATTTTTTTTTTACCATTTCAGTGGTATGATATAAAGTACCTTACCAATTTTCAATTAATATAATAATATTATAGATTTAAATCTAATGGATTGAAGAAGTTAATTGACAGAATAAGAAAAAATATATTTATCATACTATAATTTAGATATTTTTTATGTATTAGAAACTTATTATTTATTTAGAGATTTCTAGTTACCCGAATTTTTTATAATATAGTGATATTTATTTTTATAGACACTAACGTATAATTACTTTTTTTATTTTACTTCCGTGAATCTGAACTATATATACTATAAATAAATTTCAGATAAGTTTTCCATTGTTATTTGTTGGTATTTAAACAAATTATATATTTCATTCAAATCAGTTATAAGTTACGTTTTTATATTTTATTTAGTATATAAATTAAAAGCTAAATAATAATAAAATATTAACCTTTTGAACTAGTAATTAAAAATTATTTCTTAAGTACTTGTAGATATTAAATTTAATAAAATTTTTTTGAATTATAGAATTGTTTTGCAGTTACAAAAAGAAAAAATTAAAAGAATATTAAAAAGTTATTAACAATTTATTTTGAATAATTAAGAATTTATTTGGTTAAAAATTATGGCAACTAAAATGTAGACACGTCATTTTTACCTTAAATCGGTGCATATCTCCAACAATTTTACTAAATAACATTCCCATACCACAAGTAGATATTATAACTTACTTAGGTATTCACCTAGACAGACGACTAACTTGGCGCTAGCATATTGAAGCCAAAAAATTCAGATGAAGCACCAAGCCTTTAAGTTGCATTCGCTCATTACTATAAAGTACTGTAACAGCATCATAAAACCTATTTGGACTTATAGTATTCACCTATTTGGTAATGCTAGTGTTTCAAATATTGAAATTAACCAAAGACCCCTGTCAAAAACACTTAAAAACAATCATTGGTGCTTCATAGTATATAGGGAATGAAAGGATTCACCGAGATATACAAATTCTCTTAGTTAAAGCTGAATTTGACAATGTAAGAAAAAAATACAATAAAAGGCTGACAGAACATGTAAACCTCAGCAAGGAATCTTGCACTTCTATCCATTATTTCCCGCTTAAAAAGAGCTGACCGTCCAGCCATTAATTAATAATCAATAGCTGCAAGTAAAAACTGCACCTTTCTTTTCAGTAAGCTGATAAAGTTGAACTGCTTTCTTAATAAACAACCCAATATTCACTGTTATCAAATTTAACTCTTTGATTTACTTATTTCATTTTATATTATACAATGTTTAGTTAAAATAAAAAAGTGTACGAGTAAGATCGTCACAGGTGACGAATTATGGATCTATGCGTATGAGCCCGAAACAAAACAACAATCGACCCTGTGGGTCTTCGAAGACGAGCCAAATCCAACGAAATTTGTTCGTGGAAGAAGCACTTCGAAGCAAATGGTCGTCTGTTTCTTCGGCAAAACTGGTCATGTGGTGACTTCTGTGTGGTACAACACAATTTGTTTGCCTGAAGTCTTCGAAGAAATTCGAAAAACGAACAAGATAAGACAAATCATTGTTCACCTTGACAACTCCACCTCTCACACATCGGCTCAAACCAGCGCCTTTTTGAGCGGCTAAAATGTCCAACTGATGGGTCATCCGCCATACAGCGCTGACTTGGCACAAAATGACTTCTTTTTATCCCTGCACATCAAGAAAAAAATGCGTGGTCAACGATTTTCGTCGCCAGAAGATGCAGTTGAAGCGTTCAAAAACCATGTTTTGGAGGTATCTCAAACGGAATAGAAAAAGTGTTTCGACAATTGGTTTGAGCGTATGCAAAAGTGTATATATCAGGCTGGAGAATACTTTGACAAAAATTAAAACAATTTTTCATGATAAATATTCGCATTTCCATTATTAGGCCAGAAATATACCATATATAGCAGCCCTCGTATACGCAAACACTAACTCAATCTCAAAATAAGAAATTATATGAAGAGAGTTGAAAAATTGACCGTTCAGATGCTTAAATCTGGATCTAGAGAAATATAAGGAATAATATAAAGTATAATTAGGCAACTCTGTTTCGAATATGAGATATACTGATATATTGGAACATGAAAAATGACATAAAATGTTTCCAGGTATTTTTATCTCACTTATGAAACATACTGCAGTCCCGATGTAGAACCATGTAATCGTATAGAACCATGGGACTTGTGAGAGTACGAACAATTATGGGAATTCCGTATTTTTGATTTGAATTCCTTATAACAAATCTGTAGGTGCTAGTAGTGCGACTTGAGGAATTCTTGTTGGTTTGTTGTAGATTTTCATTGCTGATAACTTCTTATCTATTGTTAGTTGTAGGTTTACTGTGAGCTTCACTAAAATAAATAAAATATTATTATGCACATAATAATTATTTACAAAATTCATGAATTTAAAATGTACTTCGAGATCATATTAACTTAATGTATAATTTTATAACAAATTATTTCTCAAGCATTTGTTTCAATAAATAATACATAAGTTTTGAAATTATTTAATTAATTGTTAGTGAGTTCTAACGATGTTATTTATTAGTAATTTATTTTTAATTCCCAAGTAGTTAATAAATTTTTATTTTAAAATATTTTTATAGAAACTAAATTTAAATTATCGTCAATATTTATTCATTTATTATAGTTTTAATGACTACTCGTATCTATAAATTGATTGATTAATAAGTTTCATTAAAGTCGATATATATTTATTTTTATAATCATATACTTTTAACATTAATTCGTTACAGTTATATAACGTGGAGTTCAATTACTAACTATATGAAAGATTCGTGATTCTTAAATAATTTATTTTCCATAAAATAAATTGTTTAATATGGTAAATTGAATTTTTATTTATATTACTTAATTTAAATATAAA